TTAGTTGTATGTATTAAATAAATCTCGGGATCATTTTTAGCCACATTACCGGTTTATGAAAAAATGTGTCGATGACTAGACATTTATTTACCATCGTTAAGCACTGCTTTAGCGAAGAACTTGCGATTTCCGCGATCAAAAGTATTTATGTCCGATCTACCCAGGAAAAGACGTACCTGCAGGAATGTAAGGTTTGTTCAACCATTAGTTGAAACAGGTGTTCATGAAAGGAAAGATGGAAAGCCTTTCTAATATAGTGGGCAACGTAGGACACTCCAGCTTACTTCTTGGTTATCACGCGCTGAATGTATTCACAACACGAAGCATAATCACATTGAACATTTGCCTTCTTCTCGCATATTGTGGCAGCTTTCTTCTTTCTTCCAGAGCCTACAAAAACAAAATTTATCCACAAATGAATACCACATGCCTTTTTCGGCTTTATCTTTAGTAGATCGCAGTTTTTTGTAATTTAGATCGTATCCGCTGCAAAGCTTCTCTGCTCTTTAGATTTCAGCAAAATGTTTTTCACCGCTGCATGGAGCCGGAGAATAGCACTATCCCTCTAAGATTTCATGCAATATCCAACGTGACACAGTGTTAGTAAATGCCTCAATTTAAGAATGATACAAAAGTTATTGCTTTCTTTCTCTTAAACATAAGCTCGTTTATATTTTTTATGAGCTTATCTTAATCATTCAATTAGTGGAGTTAGAACTTTTTAAAGAGGAGATGAATATATAACAAACGTAATTTCTGAATATTTATGTAAGAAATAATTTAAGGGCAAAGGAAAGCCTGAACTGAAATTTTCAATCGTTTTAAATGTAAATCTTTTCAAAGTCACAAAAATATGTATAGATAAGCGACTGAAATCAAATGCTTATATATTATTTATTTAAGCAGTTCAAGTTTAAAACTTGGCTAATTTCACTGTTAACAATGCCTCAATGACCGCAGAAACCTTGAAAATTTTTTCAATTATATTTGCTTAAAACTCTATTAATTTAATTTTTTTTTTTTTTTTTTTTTTTTATATTAACAAAGCAGTCAGTGTCTTAATGTTAAAATGAAAGTATTAACGAAGAATGTTAATTACATTATAGCAGACAATGTAAAAAACTAAGTGATCGATTGAACTCCATATGAAAATGAAAAATAAAAGATATATTTCATTAAATTAACGCATTTTAGCGAGCAGTGTTCTTTAGTTTTTACACCTGAGGTAATAACTGATCGTGTATGTGAAAAAAATTGGCTTTCAAAAGATGAATCTGAAGACTTGAAGAGACTGCATTTGCCCAAAATTGTCTAGCTCCAAGTCTAGAACATCTCCCGTTATTTATATGAACATATTTCTTCAGGGGTTGTCAATTTAAGGGCTTTCCCTCAGGAATGCCATAAAACTAAATGAGTAAAACGGTATATAAAAAGTTGTAAATGTAAAGCGAAAGTGACCAATAAAGTTTTTCTCATCTGTTTTTGCACCGATTTGAAATATTAGCACGAAACTGGTCATTGCAGTGGAATGACCAGAGCTTTATTGTTCACATATTTTTGAAATATCAATAACGCTTTCTATTACTAATCGCAATGACATTCGTACCTCACGTACTCTATAAAATGAGAAAAATTATATTCGGTTGTGGTCGAATCTTTTATACCCATCACCGTGATATAAAAAAAAGCCTAAAAATGGAGGAAAACTAAATTTCCTTTATCTCCAATATTGAGCGGGCGCGATTGTTGTTTTCTATTTTCAGCGTGATTTTATTGATTTTTCTGTTTCAAAAAGCAAAAAAAAACGCGAAAACGAAAAATGCTCACAGTCTTTTGCTGTATGGTAACTTGTAGGCGTATCCTTTGACCGGTTGGAGTGATTTTTAAATTCTTTTGCAAATTTCTAACGAACATTTTTATTTTTTTGAGTTGAGTAGAAGGACATATGGATAGACGAAAAGACGAAAATACTTAGATGCATTCCTAATTTGAAACGGGTCAAGAATTTATATATTTTAGGGGTTTTTCGAAGTTTACTTCCGTGCGTTACAATAATATTGTGAGGAGATGGTCAATTTTTCCCATTTTGCTGTAGATTTCTCTAAAGCATCGCCCATAGAACATATGTTCAAATTTTTGTAGATTTATCTACTTTATGGTCTATGACTAATAAGCAAAAAAACAATTTTTGACTGCTTTTGAAAAACAGAGGTGTTTTCACTTTACATGGTACTGTAGCCGCGTCATTTGATCGATTTGACTCACTTTCGATGCCAATCCGCCTGAAAGAACTTCTAATGTTTCTGCCAAATTTGAAAACGATTCGTCATCCTTACGAACAGGAGAATGTTTACAACAGGCATTGCACCGACGGACAGACGAGCAACCGGACTTGCTTGCAAACGGACATACTTAAGTCGATTCACAATTTGATACCGATCAAGTATCAATATCAGACCTTGTTGCGTCTGTGAACCTTCCTCCTAGGCGTTGCAAACGTTTCGACGAAATGAATATACTCTGCCTCATGCTTGCGTGATGAGTATAAAAAAAAATGGAAATTTAAAATTTTTTATTTAATATTTCCAACCAAATGAAGTCTATCCTGTTCCGCGTTCCATAGAACTAAATATAAAAGGTTCGAGGGTTTCTTTCGAATTGGAATCAGAGCAAAGGATCATAACGAACTTAAATTTCTAAAGAAAAAAATTAGTAGTAAAGAATACGCCTTCACAAGAATATATGATAAAGCATTCTTGCTATACGGAATTTGTTTATTATATCAGAGCTGTTATGAAGCATTTCTCATATTCTATGCGTACTATCTTGCGATATTTGCTTTTATATAATACAATAAATTTTATAACTGTACTATTAATTCACATCAATCAAGTTCAAAAATAATTTTTATAATACTTAAGGAAAATTAATTTAAATAAAGCAATTAAAGCGTTTAAATAAATATTCAAAGTTAAAAAAGTATATAATTAGAAAAAATTAAACAAAATATTCTTTGTATTTAAGGAATAATATCACAATCCGGTGTTGTGTTTATTAAAAATTGTGGAAATTTTCTTAATTCTTTATAAAATTAATGAAAAAGCTACCAATATTCGATTTGTTAAATGTGAAAAGTAAAAATCGTTTCGTCCTTTTTATATTATTTCACTAATATATAGAAAAGTTGTTATGCAATGAAAAATAGAAAAAAAAAAACATCACAAAGAAATATTCATTCCTCTACAAATAAAGTCGACTGTTATACGAAATGAAATATCTATGCAGATTTTATCAATATATTGAAAGTGATTTACAACAACACTTGTAGCAAAGCACGATTTACAGTCTATTGCACCAGGACCCGAAGCCATGCCTCTTGGTTAGATGTCGGACGCCAACTAATTAACTGTAAACAACTAAGTAATACAATTAGGAAAATCTACAATAGAAAATCGTAAGACAACATACATACGTTCGAAGGCCTTACTTAAAGAATTTTAATTGAATTCAAAAACCCACAAACGTGAATATAAGTAACAGGCAATGTATTAACAATTCGTTACCATTAGAGCTATCAACCTTATGTCTAGAGATATATCTAGCAAAAGGGATTAATTTAGTTCCCTTTCTCAGTGCAATTGCCGCAATCGCAAAAATGGATATACGAATCTGAAATTCGACTCAAACATTTCTTAATTGGTCAGGATGCCATGGTTAAATCTGCTCATTAGCACGCGCGTAATCATTACGAAATTGAAATAATATCAGAGAAAAGATTAATTTTCTTTTATATTCATCTATAGCTTTCCATGCCGTGAAACTATTATCCAAACACGTATCAGGACCAGCTGGGTGTTCATTCGATTCAAGAATGAGCTCTGTCTTAATTTTTGCGATTGCGGCATGTCCACAAAGAAAGGGCGATCATATTGATTCCCTTTGATAAACATAAGTATATATCATCGACATCTCGGGGTAAGCAAAAAAAAATGACGGCAGCTATTGTTTAAAGATTTTTTTTTTTTTTTTTTTTTTTGTTATATAAATATAATTGTTTAAAAGTTTTTGGAAGAAGAAAACTATTCACTCGGTCGTTCTAGTGTTATCGCAATAAGTGTAGATAGGTTTGCAGTAATTTTTGGACCTGTTTTGACTAAAATATGACCTAATCTTGCGTAGAAAACTTCCAAACTATGTGCGATGCCTACTGACTCTTTGAAAGCCTTTAATTTCATACTAATCTCATCCTTTTACATTTAATCGCAAATCAATTTTGTTTACTTCACTTGCCAGGCTTCCGCAAACTATTTTTCAAAACTATTTTGAGCCTCCATAATGCATTTATATCTTTGTTTTTTTTTTTTTTTTTTTTTGTTTTGTCTTCAAATAGTTAATATTGTGCCTTTTCTATGTTCTCTTTTCTAGTTTTCTTCTCGCGTTTTCAAATTTCTATTATGTCAGTAGAAATTAAGAGAATTCATTCCTCTTAAGCTTACTGCTTGCATCCCTCTAACCAACTACCCACCGTTTTATTCTTAAAACTAATTTCTCTTTTCCCTTTTATATTATACTTCGAAAGAGGTGATATAAATTTTTTTATCGAGTTATGATCGATTGATGATATTAAAAAGGTTACGGAAACTAAGCTGCACAAGATTTTACGTCTCTCTATAACAAAACTACATAGATATGTGCGTATTGTCCATTATAGGTATCATTATCCATACAAATACATTTTATAGTATGTTTACAATTTGAACGTATATAGTGTCACAGTAACGCGTCAGGCGGTGAACGTCTATGTATGTACAATATAACAGCGCTGAAAAAATCAAGATGATTGTAGTCGCAACAAGTCTATCAAACTTATCACATGCGGAAAAAAGTGAACTATTAACAAGAAAAAAAAAAATAAAAAAATAAAAAAAAATAAAGAATACTAGAGACTTACTTGTAATTAAATGTTTAATTTATTATTAATTTTTAAATGCTTTCCGCGTATTATTAAAAAATAATCAAAAAAACAAAAAAATAAAAAAAAAGTTATAACGAAAATGTTTTATTTAATATATTTCTGCGTTGTGTCAACAATATTGCATTGTGCTAAGGCAGCGACTACCTCATTTCCACCGCCGATTATACGGACATTGGATACTACTAGTCAGGTGGGTCCTGAGTTTAAAACTTTGGATCCCACCGCCCCCGTCGACGAAGCTACTCCTAAAGCTATTGCTAAAGCCAATGAAAAAAAAAAAAATTTTTATTTATTAAAAAAAAAAAAAAAAAAAAAAAAAAAAAAACACTTTTACAGAAAATTGAAAATTTTACCCTAGCTTAGCAAAAGCTATTAACTTAAATCTATCTTTCTATTGTATCCGCTAGACATGTGTACGTTCATTTGTTAAATTACTATCATTGACATAGTAAAAGATTAAGTTTATTATGTTGTATTGCATTGTATTGCATTGTGTTGTCGCTGGAATCACGCGCGTGATTAATCAAAATATTCGAAGCGTATTTTTCTAAACCAAAATCAAGAAATAATTCAAATAAACTTTAATATGGAATAAATAAAAAAAAAAAAAAATGTAATTGAAATTTTCATTAAAATTGTTTAGTGCGAGAGCAAACCAACTAAGGTGATTTGTTATATTCAGTTTTGATTTGATTTTGGTTAAATCGAACTTTAAAATAGAAAAGCGTAGGTAGGTAAATGTGGATCAATCTACGCCTCAGTATTCATAAAACTTGAGGAATATATTGATTAATTTTATTGACAACAATATTTCTTTAACTATGGCGAAGAGATTCGCCTTCAAAATTGATGGCCATCAAATGATGAATTGTTTGTAAAAGGATAACATAAGTGAATGTGAATTTAAAACATATTTGGCAAGTAATTCGAACTTATAGGACTACGATTGCTCTAAATGAAATGCGAACGAAAAGACGGAGGGGCAGAAGGATGGTTGGATATGACCAAAACTGAGTAGTATGCTTACGCTTACAGAGCACGTTACCTTGGCAGTACTTTCACATACTTTTTATAGAAAAGTTTTCTTCTACTGTCAAGAATTGCCTTTTAAAAGGTCAACTGAGCAGTTCTGTACCCACCGTTAAACCATCATTTTGTTCAGAGACTCGACATACATACATGTTTTCTTATCATAAAGGCGGCGAGTGTTTGAAAATTCGATCACAATCGAATACAATTTTCTTATTCTTTACTTTTAAGTTAAGTTTTTTCTTTTTTTCATATTTTTAGAGAAATTGAATTCTATTTCAATAATTTCTTACGTAAAATAAATATGTAAGCAAACAAATGATCTTTTTTTACCATTCTAAGTTACAAGGCATCTCATTAAAACACCTCCTGAATACACAAAATATTTAATAATATTTTATTACATAAAAATATTCATTGCTTTAAATAAAAACAGCAAAAACTGTTAATTATTGATTGTTAATTTTATAATGGCGTTTCGATTCAATTTTGGGCAATGATACTCATCCATCCTAAGGTTATCGGCAAATTGTCCATATTATTTTTAGAAGAGAATCGATCGGATATCTTCAACTTACATTCGCATAAAAGTTTAGTTCAACTATTGATTCATTCTCGTTGTGAAAATTTTTCACCTTTTCAGATATTATCAAAATAATGCCGGACATGTTCAAACATCTATCGAACTGATATGCTTATACGATTTTGCGGCACTTGAACAAACAAACAAACAAACGAGAAAATGGGCTAGAATGGATAGACAGTCGGATAAGCGGAAGAATAGCCAGGCGACAAAATGATATTTTGGGAAAGCGTTTCCCTTTCTCCATTTTTCATAATAGAACAAGACTAAGCAACTTATGATATATCACCGCAGTAAACATAATCGAAGAATTAAAATCGAAAATTATTCCGTCATGCATCTCATTGGCCAGGTTTAGCCGACGCAGATCATTGTTTTTTTCTATAGATTACAAAAAATGAAATGTTGCTGCCCGCGAATGTCGCACTAAAAAATAGTCCAAAAAAAATGTCCCAAAATAAGCATATCTTTCGAAATTTTCTTCTATACTTCTGTCAGATCAAGTACTTCCGAAAGTGGTTACAGTTATCAAGTGATTTTCAGGTTCATCGTCTGAAACATCGTCCGATTTCGGTCGCACCATAATCGCAATCTTCAAGCGAATCAAAGAAAAAGTCCTAGAGGTGCCTAATTAACGTTGATGGGTTATGATCAAACTTATAAGTTGTTTTTTGCGTTAAATTAACTTTCATTGAATAAAATATTCGAAATTATCGCATGATACAAAGCTTAAATTTCAAATATCAATCGAGTTTGAGAGAGTATTTTATATAATAGACAATTGCCGAAGGAAGCAGATAAAGTATAGTGTTTTAATTGTTCAAACTAGATAAGGCCCTCCTTCTCTCCTCTTTTTTTTTTTTTTTTTTTTTTTGTTTTATTATCAATTTCTTCCCATTTTATTTGGAAACTGATCGTCTTATGCTGTTGAAAATCACTTGAAATTATTGGCGCCTCTTTTATACTATAGTTATTAGCATTAAAAATTTATATCGCAACAAGAAAAAACATAACAATTTTTTTGTAAATTTATCTTATCATAAATGTTTTTAGAATTCCATTACTACTGCGTTACTACCATGTTTGTTCACAGTAGAAACAATTCAATTACTTACAACATTATTAATATTATTAATATGCAAGAACAAGCTCTTCAGTCAGCTTCGAAATAATTTCTTGACAAATTTTCTGCATATGTTCTTTGTAATTGCGGAAATTAAAACCAACCTGATAAGTTCTGTTTAGGAATCCAGCTGCTTAGCTTATTGTGACTGCAATTATAATTCTTGCGTTTACTTTTTCATTCGGACAAACTAGTTACAAAATGAAATAAATCTACGATCCATCCACAGAATTTATAGTAGTTTATAGCGCCATAATAATCCTTCTCCGAAGGAGAATGAGAAGCAACACGTTTAAAACCTATGTTACCTAAGAAATGTTGAAAACATCTCACTGACTTCTCACTTATGTTTAACATTAACTGATGATTGATATTAATAATCCCGATCTAGTTGTCAGACTTACTTGTTGAAAAATCATGATGAGAATCTTAACCGGCGCTAATGAAAGAGTTAGTAAAAGGAATGTGATGGCTGAAACGACTCTTTTTCTAACTCAAGATAAATGTTTCTACTTTTATCAAATGGATTGATGGGCGTCTGATTGATTTACCTTTTGTACCGACAAACCTCTTATGGCATTTTCATTACAATGAATTATTGAAAATGCATATTTGTTCACATTAATGAAAAAAAAGCGCGATTAGTCAGCGAATTTGTTTGTTCGTGATAGTCAAATATAGATGTCATGAGGTATAATAATAAAATCCTGCCCTGTTACGCAAAATAACATGGGGCGGCAAGGAATGAGGCAATGGAATTTTTTCTTTTTGCTAAACTAATTTTATTGTGTTTGTGTGTGCTGCTTCTTAGGAAATCATTAATAAATTCAAGTCTGAGAACGAAGGGCAGGTATTGTCCATCTAACGAATGCTGTTCTAAGTTCTTTCAGCTTTATATGCCACGTGATTGATTGCTTCATATAATAAATAAAGTAAAGTTTCTTTACATGTGTACATGTGATTCCTCTCGTCAACTATTGAAGCTATTATTATATTTAATAATAATAAAAATCGTGTAAACAATCGATATTATATACAAAAGTCTGTTTTGCAGTAAATATTTTTTAAGCGTTAACTGAAGAAAAGCGTTTGTATCGTATCTTCGGTTCATTAAAAAAACATCTAGTCTGTAACATAAATATTGATAGGATATCGACGCCAAATCTTGTTTCTATACTTATCACGTTACTATACTATATATATGTATATATAATAGTCGTATGCAATATTTTCATCATATAATTTACTCAATTTATTTCTTCTGCTTCTTCTACTTCTCCTACTTTAGGCGCGTTGAGGAGTAAGGTGCAGGGAAAATGTATTGCATGATTTACATTCTTATCAAATCTATCGATTGCATTTTCTTGAAAAAAATATATCAAATGACAAAGCAATAACTTGAGAAAAATGTATTTTATTTTTCCAAAACTGTGATTGTTCTTTTATCCAATAAACAACGTTACAGTACTGTAAAAATGACCATTAATTGTCGTACACCCTCACCCCATATTAAAAATTAGACAATTTTGCTGTATAAAGGCTTAGTTTTCATTTTCATAACGTTTTTTAATCAAAAGTCATACGGGAAGTGATCGCGTACCTGATGCAACCCAATCCGTTTTCAATAGACCTCGCTCTTGGACCATAACACACCTGTGTAGTCAATTTTGTCAATATATGTCAAAAATTGCGATGCATATACATACATGGAAGGACAGACCTACAAATAAATTTTAATCGTTTCGTAATTTAAATTCCAAGTCGATCATTGTAATAAAAATTGGTTCTAGCTCCCTCTAAATCCCTCTCAGCTTTACAAACCTTCGCACAAATATTAGTCAGTAAATTTTTTCTTAATTTTTAGCACAATTTACGTTTTTTTTCATTTGCATTAAATCGTCAACAAAAAAATATGTAATGATTAAGTGTGCAATGAATTCAAAATTTTGTGATGGAATAAATTTGCATATTTAAATAAATAAACCTTCTCCCGAGTGTTTCAAAGCAATGATTAGCAAGACAAACTCTTGAACCGGATTTTATATACAGAACTATAACTGTAGTTGAAACAGTAAAAAAAAAATTTTAGATCTTTCCAGTTTTTAAAAGCATTAAAAATCAGTCCCAGCTTAAGATCTAGATACCTAGCGTTCTCGCAGTGACTTGTCTAGAGTTAAGTGTTATCTTATTTGAAGCACGCACGCCACAATACTTAGTGTCAAGTCACTTCACGTCAACTAAGTTTGCATCCATTCTTAACCTTGATTTACATAACACTTAAGAAAAGACGGAAACAATTGTCACTGTTATCGCGACTTTACTCTGTATTTTCTATTCTCTAATAATAAATAAAGTTCAACAATTTGTTTAAAGTGAATCAATCAACTTCGCATCAAAGAATCGACGTCTTTTTGTTACTATACTGCAACTGTATGTTTGTTTTTGTGATAACTTAGGGGGTCCATGTCGGAAAGTTTGGCAACGACTCTTCACAACAACATTCTAAGTTATAAGAGAGAGAGAGAGAGAGAGAGAGAGAGTAGAAAACGGGAACAACTTTTTCTAATTATATGCAGAGCCAGCCAGTAACCGGTTTTAAATTTAATCTGACGGCAGACGAACGAATGAGCCGACATGATTAAATGTTTTTCACTGTAAACGCTAATCAAAAATCTATTTCGCTTACATTTAGCGACTGCTACCATATCTTTAATTTTTACTTATATTTAATTAAAAAAAAAAAAAACCGATTCGACTCGCGATATCCACAATTTGCCAAGAGAAGTGTCAAGGACGGATTTTATTATGTATTATACGTAAGTAGGCAATGCTAATTTTCTATATAGCTTAGGCAGTCTTTAAAAAAGTGGGATTTCGATTATTGAGAAATTAGTCCTAATATTAATCCTGTTGCTCGGAGCGGAACTATCATTATCCTGTTGTTGCCAGCAGGCATCAAAATTTAATAAGTATGGATCTATCGGCGAGCAAAAGACAAGATGGGTCTCATCTTATAAAGTGTCTACGCATATATTTAGCAATTAAGTTTCAGCTAAAAGTCATACATTGAAAATTTTTTTACATTTTTCGTTAGATTGTATCTCTCTACTGAATATCACTAGATTTATATATTATTGCTCAGAGCTCTCGCCAATCTCCAAGTTGATCTGCATATTTGCTAATTAAGAAAACAAAACATGTTCCTGATCTAAGGTCATCTATATGTATAGTTATGTGTTTAAAGGGTATGGATCTGAACTGAAAAAATCAAAGAAGCCAAAATATTTTCCGGATGTAAGGCTTAGAAACTATGCAAAGTTATTGTAGAAAAAAGTCCTTTGAGGACCAATTCTAGAAATGAAATATTATGCAAACATATAATGTAAACATATCATGTATTACGTGAAGGTGTTCCTTACAAGCACTGGAATGGAAACAAATCTTCATTTATCGATTATTTATTATATGTTAATTAAAATTCACAGTTTCAAGCGTAAGCACAATGTTAAGCGTTATCTTTACTTTTAGGAAACCATTCTTACCTTCAATTTTCAACCATTCGCAAAACATTTATAGCGATAGCATTTTAAAGCAAACTTCTTTAAATTCAAATAACATATTTTTAGATGCGAAATTTTGGTTTAATGTCGGACTGAAGCAGTTGGAAAAAATCGTAAATGTGGCCAAGGATAATGACGATAATTCATATAAGAAAAAGGCAAAGAATATTATCATTTTTGTGGGGGATGGTATGGGCGTGACGACAATTACAGCCGGGCGTATATATAAAGGACAATATCTAAAACATGGTCCTGGCGAAGAAGAAAAACTTTCGTTTGATGAATTCCCTTACACAGGCCTTGTAAAGGTATGTGGAAAGAAAATTGGTGGCAGTCATAGCTTAATTTCTCATCTAAAAGCATTTTCTTTTGTAGACCTATAATGTAGATAAACAAGTTCCAGATTCGGCGGGCACTGCCACAGCTATGTTTTGTGGTTCTAAAGCCCATTATGGTGCTATTGGAATGGACTCTACACGTTCTCCAATAAACAGTACGCAAGGTAGATTGACTTCGATTATGGATTGGGCACAAAAAGAGAATAAACGTACAGGTATTGTAACGACAACGCGTATTACTCATGCAACACCTGCCGCCACATACGCTCGCATCTATCATCGGAATTGGGAATGTGATAGCGAGATTCCAGAGCAATCAAAAGAACATTATATTGATATAGCGCGACAATTGGTAGAAACTTCTCCTGGCAATAAGTTCAATGTTATACTGGGAGGTGGTCTTCAGCCTCTAGGAGCAACGAATCAAAGGGAAACACGTACAACACCTTGGGAAGGAGGCACTGAAAAAGTTTGCTCACGTAACGACACCCTAAACTTGCCTGACGTGTGGCTAAAAATGGGTAAAGAGATAAACGATGAACGTGCATTTGTAAGTAGTCAACAGGAATTAAAGCAATTAGATCTGAAAAAGATCAATAGTCTGATGGGACTATTTCGCAACAATCACCTGACTTATGCAATAGCGAAAGAGGAGGGAGAGCCTTCTCTCAAAGAAATGACTGAAGCTGCTATAGATGTGCTGGAACGTGGCAACAAATCTAAGGTACTTCTAGCTCAAATATTTGAATTTTAATTTAATTCCGACCGATGGTTTCAGGGTTATGTACTATTAGTCGAAGGTGGACGCATCGATCAAGGTCATCATCAAAACTACGCTCGAGCTGCATTGCACGAGGTATACGAGTTCGACATGGCCGTTCAGGCGGCTTTGGAAAGAACTAACAAAACCGAAACTCTGATCCTTGTTACAGCCGATCATTCACATGCAGTTACCCTTAATGGCTATCCGGCACGCGGAAATGATATTTTAGGATTTGCTAACAAACCCGGTCAGGATCAAATATACGAAACTCTCACTTATGCCAATGGTCCTGGATTTAATGATCACTTAAATCAGAATCCTACCGCTGAAAATATTTGGATAACCAACTTTACGGATAAACAACGCCAATCATTTACTTATCGTCACTTAGCGACTGTACCGCTACCCGATGAAACTCACGGAGGTGAAGACGTTGCTCTATTTGCTCATGGGCCCGGCTCGAGCTTAGTGCGGGGAGTGTTCGAACAAAACTATATAGCTTTCCTTATGAGTTATGCTGGTTGCATGGGACCGGCAAAAGACTTTGACAACTCATGTCAACACCGTAGCAATTCTGAAAGTTTATCCATATCTTTACTGCTATTTGCGGCGGTGTCTTTTGTTCCATATATATATTCATATATTTGATAATTAGTTTGATATATTTTTTTTTAATCAAGAAAATTAATATCAAAATTGTTATTCTGTGCACTATTTTAGTTAAAACATAATCAACCTATGCCTCTTATCAAAGGGGACGACTTTTTTGAAAATTATTGCCAGCAAACCTCAATAGAACAAAAAGCGAAAAAACCAAACAGAAACTATTAACTGTTAAATAAAAACTTAATAAAACCACTTTAAAAATTTTCGTTATTATTTTCACTTTCACTTTTCATTCGTATCCTAAAGCAGCACATTATTCAATATCAATATCTTAAATACATGGGCAGAAAATGTTTCGTCATTGAAAACTGTACAAATAAAACAAACCTAGCAACAAATTATGTTTCGAAAAATCAGACCCGTTGCATTAGCAACGCCCATCCGAATGGTCGAGGAACTTCTTCAACTCAGCGAAGGTATAAATTACTCTATGGATTTACGTTATGGATTAACCGAGTTTCAAAAGATGTCTAGGAGTCGGTGTGTAGTTATGCAGCCTTTGCAGTTGACGTTTTGCTGACCGTGGCCTTGCCTTTCGGATCTTCTTCGTCGAGCGTTTTAACGCGGTGCGCGTTGACGCAGTTACGAAAAGCCGCTACTTGTTCAGCACACTTTAGAGTCTCACCAGGATTAGCACGATAACAAGCTATAATCTGAGCCTTTAGATCTTGGCATGGGGGAGGTTGAAGAGTTGCGGGGGCTGAGGCAAATCGTTTACGTACATCTTCTACAGCCGAAGAATATTCCGCCTCCATAATGGTATTAGTTTTCTTAAGATTTTGTTCGAGCTGAGACATTCGTTGACGCCACATGGCATCATTCTGTTGTAATTCAATATCTTTTTGACGACGAATATCGGCTGCAGTAATGGTAAAACCTGCTGGGCCGGAATATACTACAGGAGGGGGATTTTGATAAACGACCGCTGGTTGTCGCTGAACAGCTGGCGCATCCGCTACAGACACCGGTACTTCTTTTGCTGCTGAAATGCCAGTCGTCTTCGTCTTACCACTATCTTTAGCTAAACGTTTAAAAATCACTTATAAGGGGCTAGAAATTCTTTTACGAAAAACGGCAACAAATGTTCAAAAGTTGTAAAAACAAATGTTGATGACACCATGACGTCACCATCCAATGACTTTTAAAATTTGTTTACATTTTCATTTATTAATAATGCTCTGCCATGGTTGCATAACCACGACACGCATATATTTCCCTGTGCATTTTGGAAAAAAAAAATCGGAAAAGCACTACAACCTTTGAACATTTGCCTTGAGATTTGTCACTGCTCACGAATACCTTGTCTGGATATGCCCAGTTTAAGTCGCTCCACCACATCATCCGAAACATCTATTACCCCAGCCGGTGATGGATTGTCCATTGATACAGAACGGGGTTCTTTTGAACGTGCTGCTCCCATCTTCTTCGCTTACGCTTTCACTCTGTAATATCAATCGTTTCCACTGATCATTTGCGTCGAAGAACACTTTCTTTAATTATAACCATGAAGGATAATCAATTACCTTTAGAAGTGAGGCAGAAAACGTTTTACAAAAAAAAATGTCAAAAATCCATCAAACACGCAAGTGTCAAAATAAAAGGCAGTCAATTGTTATTGTTTGCCTAAGATAACTTAACATCTCATTGAAGGGTGATTTATAAATTTTTAATATATTAGTAAACACAGCATGACTACTCAGTAATTTTTATTATTTTAAAATGTTCTGCCGAACTACTACCGCAGCCATATTTTATTTTTGCCCGAAGCCTGAAGACAGAGCACTCCTGCATTTAAACTTTAAACTGCAGAGGTAAGCAACAGACAACCCTAAGGATATCAGTTTCTATCCTATCTTTTTCAAAGCAGTGTTCACAAAACTTTACTCATATAAACTAAATACACATTAAGAAACAAAATCTGCATAACACCGTGATGGAAAATAATGGCATAACCTCTGCCTGTATATTATTCTTAAATTTAAATTTTATTCAATTTGTCATTTTCTAAATTCATGAGCTTTCATATTGACGACCTTAATAATAAAGGTGAACTACCAACATTGCCGTTTGAATTGAACAATCGAAGTAAATGCATGGCAAAGGAAAAATAAATTAAAAAGAATAATAAAAAAACAATCACTTACTTTTAATTTTCTTCGTACTTATTAATCTTATAATTAATTATATTTTACAAATAGTTTAAAACAAACACCCGCGCGAAAATATTCACATATAATTCTAACTTTTTTTTCTTTCGACTTTTAAGATTTCATTTTTTATTTGACATTTTTCTATACCGTTACCGATTTGCTATTACTTTAATTTTTCAAACCATTTATAGCAATGCCTCCATTTTACAAAACATGCTTTAGCATGTTTCAAAAGCAACAAGAACAAACGCTCACAAAAATCCTTATTTCGAAAATATATTAAAAATTTGGCACTAATGTACATATATAATTTATTAATATAAAGTTAGTTTACCGCGAGTTTCTAGAAAATCATCGACTAATAAAAGAAATATTTTAATGGTGTATTAGCGCGCCGAACTAAACTAAGTAACTGAAACGATCACATTGAAATGTCCGCTTATAAAATCAATGCTGCGCTTTGTTAATTAATTAAGTTGGCGATTTTTGATACTTATTCAATTATTTCACCGCTCAAATATTAAAAACTACCAAAACTTCAAAACAAGTCGCTATATCTTATTCCAAAAAGCTACTCCTATTGAATTAAGAGAAAAATCAAGAATCTATTGCAAACATTAATAATTTCAAGTAAAAAGTTATGCAGTTCCTATATAAAGTTTTCTTGAATTAACTTTGTAATTATTATATATTTTTCATGAAAATAGAAAAAATCCAAATTATTCCTATAGAATATACATTTTTTTTTTTTGTATATAAGGTATATTTACTAATTTTTGTTGTTTTACATTTAAATTACTGAAGCATTGCTTCCTTCGCGATTTTTTGTCAAAAAATTTATCAAACAATAACAACAACTATTATCATTGCTAATTTCTAG